ACTCTCATTCTCTCTGTCAGATAATAAGCATCAGAAACATCGGTGTAATTGTATGAGCAAACAACACTGCAACACAGCAAGCACAACACAAAAATAAATTCTCGAAATGGGCAAATATACGTTCACCATGTAAATGTACTATGAATCGATAGATAGGTAGATAAATAAGTTAGTAGGAAATAAGGATAAGCAGTAAGGATTCATAAACAGTGACAAATAAATCTTCTCACTGCTGTTTAGGGATCAAAGTGAAGGACGATCCAACGATGGGTAACAAAATGGAAGGAGACATTGCTATTGAGGATCTCAAAAAATTCGTAGCAGACAACAACAGACTGGGCCGGAACGCTATTCGACAAGTGTACAGGTAAATCCCCACAGCAGAACCGTGAAGGATCACAGCTGAGCTGCTTTTTCGGCCTCTTATCACATCTGTAAGGGATTTCCGTGATTTCCATAAGTTTCAATGGGAAAAAATAGGAGGGATGGTCCCATTACCGGAAAATTTGCGATTTTCATGAGACCCGGTCTATGCATTTTGATGGCACAAGTCGCAGGATGCCAAGAAGTTGCACTCACGCTAAACCGTACTGTGGCCCTCTCCTCTCCCTCCCTTCTCACTCGGCGGGATCCCACAGTTGTCCGCTTTATGAAGGCTGGGTTATGGAAACCCTTCGCAAAGAACAGAATTTGTTTTGAGATGAAGGTCAGCTTGGAACTCAGCATTTGCTGGACCATCGGAGATCAGATTTGCCTATTTTTCTGCCGTCCTTCACCCTTATAAGATATGGGCTTAGGCGCAAAATAATCCAGTGAGTCAGAAAACTTTTTCAAAATCTTTAATTCCTTTTAGGAGATGGCCAAATCGAGAGATTCCCTATGCGCTATCATCTCAGTATGGCTCGTATGCCAGATCGGTTATTGCAAAAGCGATGCAGGTAGTTTCGACTTAGCTTTCACATTGTGCTTCATAAATTGTTGGATAACTCATACCTTGATACCCGCTCAGTGCTACTTTCAAAATGCCGATATGACATTTTGATGAGAATAATAGAATATTTGGCTAGAACAGATCGTATTATTGTGAATTGTGAACTATAAGCTTTTATTCACAAGAAGAAATCATTTTGAACAAAGAAAGTTAGGGTGGGAGGGCTCCTTGGAAACTGTTCGATATATGAGTGGCACTTGGCGGTACAGGGCACTTGAGTGGATTGGGTTGTGGGTTCGAATCCTGTAACGGCGAGTTTTCAAGCGTCGAGCCAGCACGCAGGTATGGGAACTTGCCCGGCCACCCCCTTCAAAGCGTAATCACGTCATTCCCTCATGTCACAAGTAAGGAGGGCCACAAAACAACTAACTAAAAGACAAAGCGGCAGCGACCCGAGTCCACCGGTTCTGGCGAGGCACCGTGGGAGGCGCGTTTCGACCCACGCTCTCAGTCGGGCTTCGAAAAAGTTCAAATGTATGCCAACGATGGCGGTCCATGCTCCAGAGATGTTGGACAGCTTTCCGCCTAAATGGTGTGAATATAAGGACAGCACTGGTCACTTACTGAAAACGCATATTCATCAGACGAGCCTAAGAGCTCTCTGTACCATTACAAGCTGTCGTGAAATAAGTGATATGTTGCCTTCAATCTTGCGACGTGTCGACCAAAAGATTAGGCCAATGAGATGGGAGAGGTCTACTGATATTTCGAAAGAAAAGATTTAAGGGAGGGAAACGGGCGGTGAGGTATGCAGGCAGCAGGATAAAGGGGTAAACCAACAACCAGATGCTCGCAGGATCAAAACTCCACGGAGTTCACCGTAACTGTGCAAGTACTCAGTATCTAAGGAGTCGGTTAAGTAGGTTTGGCCGGCGAAAGAAAAGCACTGCTTGTCCCTCCTAGTGGTATCCATTTCTATCAAGTCTTCTTCGGGTCTGGGTTGAGCCCGAAATTTTTTCCTTTCCTCGCTCTTTCATTCCCACTCCCTTCACCTCCGCTTATTAGATGGTTGCCTTTCATACCACTCGGAAGTAAACTGTATACGAAATAAGTTGATAGTCTTGAGTAATGTCCAACGATAGATTACAGAAAAATCAAAAAGAACCACATGAATTGATGGTCGAAAGTCGTTTCAAAGGTGTTTTCGAAAAAATGCTGCCGCTACATTTCCCTATCACCTTATCTTCTCTGTCATAAATGTTCTCAAAATTGTTTAGGAATACCATGACAAGACATGCATTCGATTTGTTCCCCGTGATGTTAATCGCCATGTGGACTACATTTTTATTCACCCTGATGATGGATGCTATAGTTTGGTAGGAAAGTAAGTTACATTTACAATTTATAACAGTTACTTTCCTACTTATAGTCAAAGTCCGCTTCCAAGATGACAATTCGACAAAGGTAGAGGTAAACACAAGCTCTGAGATTTCCACCTTGACCATTAGAAAACCACTGGCTGTTGATCATATTCCGAAGTCGTACCACACTCGCCGGAGAACCGTCCGAGCTGACTTCAGGAGTACCTCGTTGGCCGTTGAAGTAAGCATGGCCACCCAAACGTAGAAGAGCGACCTCAGTACCTTAGTCCATTGGAACCGACAGTGTCCTTAACTAAATAGTTTCTGGTGAGACCCATAGGAGGACAATTAAGGAACGAAATCTGATGTAACATGGTAACCTTCAATAAGAGCTTTTCATGAATAGGTAGCGGTAGACCAAAGAAAAAGAAGAACGGTTATAGAGAATCACAGCAACCTCTTTCCACTTGCACTTCTACTAGATGATTCTGTCAGTACCATTTCAGGACTGGTGGACGTCAACCGGTTTCGTTGGATTCCGGCTGCATTCAAGTTGGCACAATCGTACACGAGCTCATGC